TCTGTGCCGCGGTGGGTGGTTACTTTCTATATTGATGTGGAGGGTACGTGGTAAGCAGGGAGGAGACGGCCTGGGGCATGAGGGGTGGGATGGGCTTTGTTGCTACACGGCAGGGCCAACGCGCTGTGCCGCACGGCACCCTGGGCTGGCCGGGAGCAGCGGTTAATAGCACCCGGGTTCCTCCGCTGCCCCCAGAGGAGCTATGGATAACTGCGGGTTAAGTCTCGTGACAGGGCTGCAACCGCCACACGGACGGGGGGGAGGGGCGTGCACGTTCTTTACGTAAATTCGGGCGCTGATTGGTGGGGCGGGACCCGCCGCGCGGGAAGGGAGCGGGTGTTTCAAATCTTAGCTGTCGAACGCTCGTGCTGCTGCGCTCGATTCTCAACGACTATAACGGCCGCCTCGCCGAGGTGAAGGGGCGCGTGGGTGGTGCCTCTAGGCAGCCCAAGGCTAGGAAATGAGCGTGGGGACTTCACTCCTGTCCCAGATACACTTCCCATGGGCTCCAGTGCGGTGTCCTGATAAAGATCGCACACACCCGTGCCCTATTCACATTTCCCATCTGCTCCTGTGCGGTGTCCTGATAAAGATCGCACACACCCTTGTGCCCTCTTCACATTTCCCATCTGCTCCTGTGGGGTGTCCTGATAAAGATCGCACACACCCGTGCCCTATTCACATTTCCCATCTGCTCCTGTCGGGAGTGGTTTTCTGAATAAAACACCCCCCCACACACACCTGTCTGGCCCCCTTCCTGTTTCCCATCTGCTCAGGGAAGGAAGGGTTCCTTAGCAAAAATGCTTCCATTTGTACCTATGTGCTGTCCACCCAGTCACATTTACCAGCTGCTTTGGGAGGGGACCCCAAGTAGGGACTCTTGTCATACACACCTGTCCCCAGCCACCATTTCTGTCAATGGTACCTAATGTGATTGTTCACTAAGCATGGAAAGTGTGACACAAATAAACCACCCTGACACTTTAATACACCAGACTGGTAGGGTGTTAACTGTCACCAGAACAGAGGCAGCTAATAGGAGTTTCGGGGGGTATAGTTGTGGAGTCTATGCTTGGAGGTAGCAGGACTTGATGAGTTGTGCATTTGATCTGGCTGTGGGTTCTTTGGCTGTTTGCTCTCTGTGTAGAGGCTGCACAGCTGGATCATAGGTACCTGAGTAAGCAGCTGAAATGGATCTGTTTGATCAGCATAGCTGTTTGAATTCTCTGAGTAGTTAATCGCTCCCTCGTGGTGAGGGGCAGAGTTGAACTGAGCTAAGCAGGGAGACTTGGTCACTTGCTAGGCAAACTCAAGAGCCCTGAACAGAGGGCAGCTAATAGGAGAGTTTCAGAGGGAATTAAGAGAAAGATTGTGAGAGGTTTTCCTTCCAGATTTGGTTCTACATGTGATTTCAAGATGGCCAGCAATGAACAGTGATGGTGATATGTAACGGAGGTCTTTTTTTCTTTACTGCATGAAGCCAGAAGCGACTTCCTGTTAATGAAATGCAAATTGGTGGCCATGCTGCAGGATTGGAGGGGCAAATAAAGATAGTATTGAGAAGCTGAGGCATTCCTAGACAGTCAGGTTCAGGAAACATTGGTACCCCAGATTCAAGGAAGAACAGAGCTGGCCACCAAGAAGTCAGAAAGGAAGTCCGAGATGCAGCCTGGTGGTTTGTAACGACCAGAAGCAAGAACTATGCTGGAAATAGATGAGGATGGTCAGGCTGTTGCCCTCAGAGAGAAAAGGACTAGGAAAAATTCCACACAGCCAGTAGTTTCCATTCAATACCAGGTCCTGTTTGGAAACAAAATCCAGCTGGTGAAAGGGAATGGAGAGATGTACAGGACACACCTCTTGATGTCAGCTTGGTCCAACCTGTAAGAAAATCAAGCTTTCCCACAAAGAGTTCTACAACTGTCCAAAGAAGACAGATGATCCTTGTTGGGGATTCGGTTCTCAGAAGAATTGAAAGAACATTCTGCAAGGGGCAGGTGGACATCAGGATGGTGTGCTGTCTTCCTGGAGCCAAGACATGAGACATTAATCCAAGATTGGATGGGCTTTTGAAGTTGACGGAAAAGGATCCATTGATGATGGTTCACATTGGCACCAATGACAGTGTGTTGCAGGATATCTCTCAGAAGAGTGCTGAAGATGAATGGTACCTATCTATAATGTGTAGGGTGAAAAAGCTGCGTGATCATGGACAACTTTAAATTTGAGTGACACATGCTGGAGATCTACTGTTTCCAGTACTAAAACATTCTTGAACATAAGAATGGCCAGACTGGGTCAGACCAGTGGTCCACCTAGCCCAGTATCCTGTCTTCTGACAGTGGCCCAATGCAAGGTGCTTCAGAGGGAATGAACAGAATAGGTAATCATCAAGTGATCCATCCCCTGTCACCCATTCCCAGCTTCCGGCAAACTGAAGTTAGGGACACTTCAGAGCATGGTTTTGCATACTTATCCATCGTGGCTAATAGCCACTGATGAACCTATCCTCCATGAACTTATCTAGTTCTTTTTTGAACCCTTTTATAGTCTTGGCCTTCACAACATCCTCTGGCAAAGAGTTCCATAGGTTGACTGTGTGTTATGTGAAATATTTCCTTTTGTTTGTGTTTAATAGGCAGCAGATTAATTTCACGTGGTGACCTCCTAGTTCTTGTGTTATGAGAAGAAGTAAATCTTTCTTATATACGTTCTCCATACCACTCATGATTTTATAGATTTCTATCATATCCTCCCTTAGTTGTCTCTTTTCCAAGCTGAAAAGTCCCAATCTTATTAATCTGTCCTCATATGGAAGCTGTTTCATACCCCCCCCAATCATTTTTGTTGCCCTTTTCTGTATCTTTTCCAATTCCAAAATATCTTTTTTGAGATAGGATGACCAGATCTGAATGCAGTATTCAAGATGTGCGCATACCATGGATTTATAAATTTTATAAGTGACAATTTCCTAACTCAAAAGTGTTCCAACTGTAAGGATATTTCAGGAGCACCAATCAGGCCCACAGATTACCTTACAAGCCTAGCAAAGCAGACAATCACTGCTTGCTGTAGCAGATGAATGCCACTGTAATTCCAAATTCAAATCCAAAGAACAGGTTTATTTTAGCATAGGCAAAGAATGCCACACCCTAGTGCAGTGGTTTTCAAACTTTTTTTCTGGCGACCCAGTTGAAGAAAATTGTTGATGCCCGCGACCCAATGGAGCTGGGAATGAGGGGTTTGGGGTGTGGGAGGGGCTCAGGGCAGAGAGTTGGGGTGTGGGGTTGAGGGCTGTGGGGTGGGGCTGGGAATGAGGGGGTCAGGGTGTGGGAGGGGGTCATGGATCTGTGCTGGGGGTGCAGGCTCTGGGGTGGGGATGAGGGGTTTGGGGTGAAGGAAGGGGGCTCTGGGTAGGGGGGGGCTCAGGGCTGGGGCACGGGATTGGGACACGGGCTTACCTCAGGTGGCTCCCGGTCAGCAATGTAGTGGGGGTGTAAGGTAGGCTTCCTGTCTGTCCTGGCACTGTGGACCGTGCTCTGCCCTGAAAGCGGCCAGCAGCAGTTCTGGCTCCTAGGCGGAGGCGCGCAGCTTTTGCCTGCAGGCACTGCCCCCCCAGCTCCCTTTGGTTGATAAAGGTTTGATATATTTAGACTTCTTAAGGCATTTGACATGGTACCGCACAAAATTTTGATTAAAAAACTACAAACATATAAAATTAACATGGCATATATTTAAATGTGTTAAAAACTGGCTAACTGATAGGTCTCAAAATATAACTGTAAATGGGGAATCATCATAAAATGAGTGTATGTCTAGTGGGATCCTGCAAGGTTTTTGGCCCTACGCTATTTAAATTTTGTATCAATGATGTGGAAGAAAACATAAAATCCTTGATAAAATTGCAAATGGCACAAAAATTGGGGGAGTGGTCAGTAATGAAGCGGACAAGTCACTGATGTAGAGCAATCTGAATCACTTGGTAAGCTGGGTGCAAGCAAACAATGCATTTTAATATGGGTAAATGTATACATCCAGGAACAAAGAATG